GAACGTTGGAGTCCTCCGTCACTGAAGCAAGCAAGCCTCATGTTAGTTTCAAGCTGCCTGGCTGCCGGCCACCATCTTGGCTGGCAGTTAATTTGCATATCTCGCTGATTAGCCAATGGGAAGGGTAGCTAGCGGTCGTATGCCAATTACCATGTTTCTCTTTTGTTAGATAAGGATTATTAGTATTTCATTTATAAATTCATCTAAGCATCCCACTGCATTTTCTCACATAGTCTAGTACTATTTCCTTTGTAAAACTGATTATGTTGCCAATTACTTCTGAATTAAAAAGATAAACGTCTACATTAGACTAAAAGTAAAATGGTTTAGCAACTTTCCTATAATTGGTGGGATACTAAACTATTAACACTCCAATCTAAAATCTTTCATCCTGCCCTGGCTGAGTAGCTCAGTTGGTTATAGCACTGTCCCAATATGCCAAGGTTGTGGGTTCAATCCCTAGTCAGGGCACACATAAGAGACAACCAATGAATGCATAAATAAATAGAACACCAAATCAATGTTTCTATTTCTCTCTCTCAAATCAATAAATAATAAATTTTTAAAAATCTCTCCTCCCTATAAAACCTAGATAAGGCTCCTAAAAAAGGAGAAAAAAATGCATGAGCTCAGCATAAATACACTGGAACAAGTCTCAAGGTTTATTATCTGTTCTTTATTGATCTATGTGCTTTGAATTGAGAGAAAAGGTGTTCTTAAAACCCATCTCCAAAAAATGGTCACCTTCACTTTCTTAATTAACAAAGTTCTCATGTACAACATGACTACATTAATACAAAATGACTTTCTGGTTTCCTGTAGCATCACAAGTTTCACTACAAATTCTCTTTGAATCAACTAAGGGAGCTCACCTTGCATCAGAAGCAAAGTAATATTCCACCGCTTTTTCCTCAACAGGGAAAAGGCAAGTTGTGCTGTCCACACGAGAGAGATTGCAGCTTCCTTTCTTATCTTTGCCTAGAGCACAGAGTTAATAGGTAAGCATGTAGAAAACCAGGGCCAATATAAAAATATACATAATTTTCTAGAAAAATCAACAAAAAACCATAGCAACACAAAGTAATTTCAGCAACTTTAAATGCTGAAAAAAAAGATCACTTATTTCCATGCAAGAAGAAAAACAGACAAATCATGTACAGTGAAATAGCAACTATCAAAGAGAGTATGGCCGATAACTGTGCTATAATATAAATGTTTTTAATATTTCTTTTCCAGGTAAAAATCAAAATACTTTATTAATATCACTCTTTTTTAAGAAAGTATATATATAGAATTAATACATGTTTGTATACCTAAACTTATCATAAAATCACATTTAAAATATCAAAATTGTATAATAAAAAATAAAGACAAGTGGCATAGTAATTTTTATTATCTCATAACAAAACTTCTCTAGATTTTAATAATAATTTTGTGCCCTGCTGGTGTGGTTCAGTGTTTGAGCATCAACTCATGCACTGAGAGGCTGACAGTTCAATTCCCAGTCAGGGCACATGCCTGGGTTGTGGGCTCATTCCCCAATGTGGGGCATGCAGAAGGCAGCCATTTCTCTCTCATAGATGTTTCTATCTTTCTCTCTCTTTCTCTCTCTCTCTCCCTTCTTCTATCTCTAAAATCAATAAAAAACTATTTTTAAAAAAATAAAAAGCAAACAATTAAAAAAATAGTAAACTGACCTAACAAATCAAGATATAGTCTCCACTAACTGTAATTTAAAAACAAAACAAAGATACTTATAACTAACAAATAAGGAATGAAAATATTATAAAAGCAGAACCTCTTCTTCTTAAAACTGAGTTTTCTAACATTTAAGTTCGAAAAAAGGAGTAATGGTCCATTTGCATTGACAATATCCTCTTAATTCTAGCACTTTAGAATTTTGGCATCTCTACTTAATTCGTCAATCATTGATGAAGATTTTTTTCCTTTTTGCTCATTCATAGCTAAAGACAAAACTGGAAAGCATACTGAAATCTGACAAATTAGCAAATATATTTTTTAATCTATTAATTGAAGACTATATAAATGTCAAAGAGACAAAAGAGCACCTTTCTCTAAAATCAGGACATAGTAACTATATAACCTACGTACACAATGACTAGACATCATCATAAATATATTTGCAAAAAATTCATAATGTGTTAATCCTCTAAAATGCATGTCTATAAAGACTTGGAAGTAATTATTCTTAGAAATACACATCAAAGTTCTCCACAATCCATGATTATTTGGTTTAGGCATGAAAACCAAATATTTCTTCCCATCCAAATTCAATAGCAGAAAGATACTGCACTTCAAAAAATAAGTATTATGTAACATCCTAGAAAAAATAATACTCAAGACAGATAAAACAGATCAGTGTCTGCCAGAGGCTGAGAATGGGGACCAGGGTTGATTACAAAGTGGCAGTGGGAGGGAACTTTTTGAGGGATGGAATTTTTCTGTATCTTGACTGTGGTAGTGGTTACACACCTGTCTGCATTTGACAGAACTCAGGAAATTTTACATGAAAAAGAATGAGCTTTATTGTCTTTCAAAAAGTGAATCAAGCCTTAGCCAGTTTGGCTCAGTGGGTAGAGCGTCAGCCTGTGGACTGAAGGGTCCTGGATTCAATTCCAGTCAAAGGCATATGCCTGAGTTACGGGCTCGACCTCCAGTTGGGGGTGTGCAGGAGGCAGCCAATCAATGATTCTCTCTTATCACTGATGTTTCTATCTCTCTCTCCCTCTCCCTTCCTCTCTGAAATCAATAAAAAATATATTTAAAAAAAATAAAAAGTGAATCAAGAAACAGGTAAAATGCGTACTGACCGGTGTGGCTCATTTGGTTGAGCATCATCCCATGCACTGAAAGGTCACCAGTTAGATTCCTGGTGGGGGCACACACCCAGGTTGCGGGCTCAATCCCCAGGGGGCATGAAGGAGGCAGCTGATCAATGTTTCCCTCTCCCTCTCCCTTCCTCTCTCTAAAATCAATAAAAACATCTTTTTAAAAAAATAGGCAAAATGATAGCCAAGCACCTACATTTTTTTAAATAAACACAACCAGCTTTGGTTATATAATGCACTAATGGGGCTGAGTTTCACTATACATATTCTTTCTCCAAATATTGGTTATTTCATTCTTCAAGTAACAAAGTATATTTAATTACAATATTCAGAAGAAGTTAAGGTATCATTGCCAATTTAAATGAAAAGAACACTACTACTTGACACATTTATGACTCTTAAAATCTATAAAATGTCTTTCTATATTCTCTCATCTGATTTCATTTAAGTGGAATACAATTATCATCATTCCACTTTATTTGGTCACCTGGAGAAAATAGTAACAGCCTAAAAGCCAGTTCAGGGTTCTCCTCTTTACACAGCCTCTTCAATAAGAGGCCTATTTTTTAAATTACTCTGTTGAGCACACTCTCTACCTATTAGGAGCTAGAGAAGTAAGGGTTACTAAAACATAAACTCTCATCTCAAAAAGATCTGTTCCGTGATAAACGTTTCCTCCAATTTCTTAAACCCTTAGCCAATGTTTTCCCATTGCTTCTAAAAGCAGCTTAAAACAATGTACAAGGTAATATATAGGTAATGTATACACAGCAGAATTATTAACAGAAATCTGGAACTCTGGATCCAAAATTTGCACTCTCACTGATAGACTAGTTTTTCTTCTGAAAAGGGAGGGAAGGGGATGAGGAAGATAAAAAATTCTAACATCTCAGAACTTTTATCTGCTACAGATAAAATAGTGAAAGCAGTTATAATCTAAAGATGAATAGGTTTAGAGTATTTTGCTAAATTTTTTTCAAGAAATCAAGAATTACACATTAATAATATAAGTTCTAATTTCCTGAATTTACTTTTAGTAATAAGCAAATGGTAAGAGCACATCTTTTTAAAAATCTAATTATATCCATGAAATGTTCCAGAGTTTATACAGCTGAAAGTCTTATAAAAAATTCAAACTTATTAAAAAAGAACAATTCCAAATCCAAACAAAGCCAATCAAGATACTGAATGTAAATCTAAAAGTAAAATGTCATGCATAAAATAAAAACCATTAAAACCGACTATGTCAGTTAAAAATTAGGCTGAATTATTCAAATTATAACTAAGTCCAATCTATAATAGTCTAGAACACAATGCTCTTTTCCCCATCTTGGCATCTTAGTTATAATAAGGTATCCTACATGATTTTAATTTAAAGCAAAGGAAAAAAAACTATTTTTTTCAAATCTCAGAGACTTTAAAGAAACAAATTACTAAAAGCAGTTTTCTAAATGCCAAAAGCAGACAGACAAAATATACTCTGCAAGTTAGAAAAAATGTCAAAATGTATTTCCCCATAAAATAAGCACATTTTTAGAGGCCCAGCACATTCATTCACTCCAAGAACAAAGAATTAGTAAAGAATAAACAAAACAGGATAAGATTCCTCCCCATCCATGCAGTGCATTTCCCACCTCTTTCTCCCTGTGATCCCCACCGTGTGAATTTTGATCCAATCTGAGTCCTAGCTATGGATATACAACAGAAAAAAATTCTACTTGTCAGAGAAATCACAAAACAAATACTTTTCATGTCTAGACAGAACTATATATGAGTGGACCTGACCAAAGAAGCATTTATTTCAATTTAAGGAAAACAATTCTTCATTATCTACTGCATTCAATTTATACATTCTACCCATGGCATGATGTAGGAACAGTTTTTACCTGTTCTGTAGAGTATTGGAATGTGATCAGTAGAGAGTTTATGTTCACTTCGTACACCAATCAACAGAGGGCTACCTCGTCTGTTAGTACAAAATTAAACAGAATTAAACCATTTTTATAAACCACACATTAATGATATAAAATTTATATGTGATGACAACAGAACACTCTTCAAATAAAGTTTAAATTCTCCCTCCAAGCTCAACTTCAGATATAACAACAGATTAATATAAACAGAATTTTTAAACAAAACATTCAATAACAGAGCTAAGCAAATCTGACCCACAGAGCAGGTTTGTCAATTTCTATTGGAACACAGCCATGCCCATTCTTTTACATATTTCCTACAGCAGCTTTCACACTACAAGAGCAAAACTGAGTAGTTGCTATACAGGCCTTTATGGTGAAGGGAGATTTATTGTGTACAGAGAATAAACTTACAATTCAAAAGTTTCAAAATACATATAATTATTAGGCATTATTAAATTTATACATACCTTGTGCCAACTGCTTGGCCAGGAAAATGAACACTTTTAAATACAAGTGCAAAAGCACCTTCCTATGGAGGGAAAAAAATGAGTCAGCAATACATATGATAATTATCAAATGTGACATGTCTAATACATACTGGCTTTACCACAAACTTTTTGTTTACATAACCACTTTTTGCACTAGTTTACAAATGAGTCTAAATATTAGGCAGACACTTCCTCTTGAGCTTTGGTGTATAAAGGAGTCACTTTTTAAACAAGCTTACTCTTCAAATAGGCTCAATAGATAAATAGCTCTAAAACAGACCATTTTAATGGAAAGAACACATCTTTTTTTTTTGGTCTAATCTATATATATAAAAGCCCAGCAACAGGAATGGCAGAATGACCAGAATGACTGGTGGCTATGACATACACTGCGGCACCAACTGGCCTGATTCAGGCCCCGATCAGCCCCCGCAACCCCAATCGGGGGTGGGGCCAGCCGGCCAACCACCCACAGCCCAACCCCCCGGCTGGCCTGGCCTATGGGCCCCCATTGGGGTGAGCCAACTGAACCCCACTCGTGCACAGATCCATGCACTGGGCCTCTAGTTATATCAATAAAATGTTCTAGGGTTTTTATAGCTGAAAGTCCTATAAAAAATTCAAACATACTACCAATGTTTCTCAATAAATAAATCATATCTTCCATATTATACATTAATAAAGGGAAGACAGAATTAGGAAAGGACCTAAGTTCAATACCCAAAACCCATTTTATACCACTGTTAACTTACACTTTTTTTTTTTACCTTGACATTGGAGATAAATATATACAATCACAATTATTAACATGCATATCATACCACCCCCTCCACCTAACCTCCTCCAGGACAGGGCCTAAAGAAATCAAGAATGAATAAAGGAGGAACATGAGGTAGGAGAAGGAAGAAAACACCATAGAACACAAACTGGGTTATACACTGAGTAGAAATAAGACAAGACTGGGAAGGCACAATACTCTGCATTGAGTAAAGGGATGGAATGGACCTCTATTTTCTTCATCTTTCTGTCTCCTCCTTTACTGCAGACATCATAAGGATGGGATGAGGTGGGAAATGAGGGCTGGACCTTCACTGAGAAGTAAAGGGCTTTTAAATGGGAAAGCTAGAGCTATGAGTGGGGGAGGGGGATAGAAATCACTATGCATTTGGACTTTTGTGGATCTTTAATCTTTATTTAGGGCACTTTAGATGGGATCAAAAAGAATACCACTTTTCTCTTGGACTGGGAAATACTTTTCCATAGAAGCAAAGAGCCAAGGAAAAGTCCCCATAACGAAAAATAAGGAGTTGTCTAGACTGACTCAGAGATAAGCAAACATTATCCCAGAATAAAAAGTGTACATTTCATTGAAACTAACCTGAGCAGGAAGCAAGAAAATGATGAGTCCCTGTCTATGTATACTGTATGCATGTTTGTGTGTTGTATGTATGGGTTTGTATGTGTTTGTATGTGTTTGTATGTGTGTGTGTATGCATGCATACTTTTTGGACAAACTGATTTTAGGTTACTTTTAATTCCCCTAACACAAAAGTACAGTGAAAGAAGCAGAATTTTAAGTGTGTGGGAAAGGAGGGTTCATCAGTGAAACAACAATCCCTCAAAATTATTCAGGTTGAAACGTTATATATGAAAAGTAAAAGCCAAAAATATTTTAAAATTAGCATAGTTCCTGCTTCTCAAACTTAATTTTAAGAACATATTATTAAAAAAAGATATATTATGATTAATGTTTATAATAATTATCTTTTAAAAGGGTAGTTTAAAGACTGTTGGTTGCCAGGGGTGAGGGAGGTTGGGGTGAAATAGGTAAAGGGATTAAGAAGTACAGATTGGCAGCTACAAAATAGGCCCAGGGATGTAAAGTACAGCACAGGGAACATAGTCAATAATACTGAAATAATTATGCACGGTGCCAGGTGGGCACTGGAAATATCAGGGGGAACACTCTGTAAAGTATATGATTTCCCAACCACTATTCAGTGAAAACTGTAATTAAAAAATAATTTTTTAAAGTGTGATTTAATACCAATTGTTGGATAACTCTCTCCACCAAGGTGGTAAAACTGGTATCTTGACTTTCCCGATTGTCATACATGTACTTAACAAGCTTGGCAATTGTTTCTGTGTCTGTTTCAGATTCAAAGTCATAACCTTTACTTTCCTGTAATTAGAAAGAAAAAAAAAATTGGCACATTTAAGGAAATATTCATCATATCCAAATCTTATCTACAGAATTTTTTTTTCCTCAAAAATCTCACTAATCAATTTCTAATCTTTTTGACCACCATACGCCATTACCCACTGTTCAAAATTAAGGTAACAGGAGGCAAGTCAAGATGGTGGCATAGGTAAACACAGTACTTGCCTCCTCCCACAACTACATCAAAATTACAACTGAACTAGAAAATAACCATGATTCAGAACCACCTGAAATCTGGCTGAATGGAAGTCCTACAATTAGAGAATTAAAGAAGACGAAAATTGAGACTGGTAGGAGGGATGGAGGCACAGATGGACTGGTCCTGCACTCAGTGTGGTGTTTTTCAATCGTGAGGGATACCTTGGCTGTAGAGGTCCCTCATGATGAGCACGGGGTCCCAGTCCCACAGGGGAGGTTCCTCATGAGGAGCAAAGGGTTCCAGTCCCATACCAGACCCCTCAAGCCTAGCCCCACACCAGACCCTGGGAAGAGAAGTCTCTAACTTCAGGCTATAAAAACCAGTGGAGATTGTGGCACAGTTGGGTTGCTGAAGTCCCAGGCAGTTCCTTTTAAAGGGCCCACACACAGACTTACTCTGACTCATTGCCTCTGAGCTCCAGTGCTGGGGCAGCAACTTGAAAGGATCCAGGAACATATGGGAGGAACTAATTTGTCTGGCATCAGGGCAAGAACTGGGGCAGCTTTGTCCCACACAAAAATGCTGGCAGAGGTACAGAGAAGACCTCCCTGCCACAATGCCAACAGACAGTTGCAATATCTGAGTATCCATCAACTTGGCCCACAAGTTTGCTCCACCCTCATGATTCCCTGAGACCCCACCACACCCAAATTGTGTGCCCACTCAACCTGTTTGTAGTGGCTTTTCCATATAAATGGCCTCTTGGCTCAGGCTTCAGACTTTCCTAATATCTCTCAAACAAGCAGCAGCTGGCCTACCATGCCCCATACCTTTCAATAAGTGGCCCTAGAACCAGCAATAGCAGCAGCCTGCCTTGGTTCACACCTTGGCCTCTCCTGGGCACCTCCAAGCCCAACACAAGTAGCAGCCATCTGTAGATCACTCCATAGCTTGACGGGTGTCCCCAGGCAGGGCACAAGCAGTAGCTGACTTTGCACCTCCCAGGAGGCCTCAGAGCCACTGTACCCAGTGGTCAGCTTCAGACCATGCCAGATTACAGCCTATCACATCCACCAGTGACATACTGAAGGGGCAGACTTGGTGAGCACCAAAGCCCCACTAAAGCAAGTCCTGCTCCATAAGGGTGTCTCCTACACAACAGCTCTTCCTCTGTAGTCAAAGCTGGTCTGCACAGCCAATTGGCCTGGGGGTCAATCCCTTCCAGTGATGCCAAAAGCAATTGAGGCTCAACTACAACAGGAAAGCACATACAACCCACACAGGGGCATACTTAGAGTGCCCAGCTCAGGTGACTGGGGAGGCAAAGCCACAGGGCTCTACAGGACACATAATACACAAGGCCACTCTAACAA